GTTCAATTTTTAAAATCAGCCATTCTAAATGAACATGATCAATGGAAGGAGACCAAAACAAAAGATTTTCAGAACAATAAATATTTTGCACGGTGAGTGGTTTCTATGTCCCACTTCCGAAAAAACTTGATTTCCTTAAGCCTACTTTCTGATGCTTAAAAGAATCATATTATTAACGTCAGACAACAATCAAACAAAATTCAATAAATGACCTAATATCTTTATGGTGCACTTCAAGGATTTTCTTTGTCACCAACAATTCAATTTCTCGAATTTCAGTTATAATAAATTTACCAAGAATCATTCATTCAAGAATGGGAAAAGTCCAATAGGGAATGAAGGCATTTCCACTATGATTTTAAAAATTCCTTTAAAAGGCAATTTGTCAAGATAAACATTTTATTTTTACTGTATAATATTAAGTAAGTCTACCACTTTGGTATACAGTAATATCTTGTAAATTTCATTGTATAAATGATTAGCAGTAAAACCTAAAGAAGTGTTTGACTGTCAATTGCATAATAATTTTTTTTCTCCAAAAAATAATAGATGAGATGTGTTTTTAAAGTATTTTTTACCAATTTGTGAATTAGAAAAAATGATTGTGTGAAATAAAAATGCTTAAAACTTTCGAACTAAATCAGGGCTGTTATTTAATGAATAGATTGTAGAATTCTTAATTTAAAACCAGTTACAAGTATATGTAATGCTACGTTACGTTATTTACTGAACTTCAATTACACGTTACTTTTGCAAGGTTTCATTTACAAATATGTTTAGTAAATCGCACAAGAGGACAATTAGATTAGTCAAATTAGAACCGGAAAAACATTGCTTTACAATGACTAACAAAATATTTTATAGGAACCCCAAGGGGCCTTCCTGCAGGTCCATGGCTGCTCAGAAATTAATGCAATTAATAGTAACAATAACAATATAATAAATCTGCAGTACTTTTTACAGTACCATATTCAATGAGCATATATTGTTATGTGAACAAAATGTTGAAATGAAGATAAAGCCATGGATTACAAAAAGTATTATTATTATGAATACCAGGTCTATAATAATACTAAGATATTGAATTAAATCTCCTTGTATAATTCTGGAAGGCATTTTCCTAGAGATCAGGGCCAGCTCAACTATGGCCGAATGTTCTATTTGTACTGTAGTTATTAACTTAATTCAGCGCGGGATCACACTGCGAATTTTCACACTTCCTCCTTTGCGCCAGGCTTTTATGTGAATTGTCACTGGTATACTGCTCATCAGCACAATTACGAACGACGACCAAACGAGGACAACGGTAGGCCCAAAAGAGCGGAGAGTCCTAGGCCGAATATCCCCCCCGCCCACAAAATAATTACAAAAAGAATTCTTCACTCCTCATCATATTTGTTGATGTTTTTAGCTTGTAGGCCTAAGACATGAACAAGAGGACATTTCACCTGATAATCGTTTTTTTGTGTTGCAGCTAAAAGGTGCACAGCCAAAATCGGTTATTTGCCGTTCAAACACGCTATCCATTGCGTGTTTTAATAATTTTTTTTAATCGCTTTTTTCAAACTGGTCCCGTTTCTACTGCGAGAATAAAAGCAATTTTTCGAAAAAGCAATTTTTAATCGATTATTCCTTTCCAGCAGAAACAGGCCAAAAGCGACCTTAGCAACCCAGGTTCGGTTTACGTTCAGGGCTCACATTGTAGCACCCGAGCTGACATTAAAGCTGGATAAAATTAACTGTAGGTCGTCTTTGAACCGGCTTAAAATTTATTGGACGTTCATAATTTTAAGAAGCTGGCCCTGAAGCGGTCCTGAGCCAACGTAACAATCAAACCTGTTTCTTTGTAATATTCTGGAGGCCACAATAATGCTCATATGACTGTTGAAAATTTAAACATCACTGAGCTTTTAATTCTGTGATTGGCATTGCCAATGAGTATACATCGCTATGGAAACATTTAACACCACTTCATTAGGGCAACTACCAATCAAGCGGTCGTTAATGTGTGGTCGAGCACCCTCGGACCCACAGTTTATCATAGCATTTTCTACTACATAATAAAGGTATCATCACAACATGATAATTTTCGAATAAAAACAGACTAAAATAACACAGCTTCTATGTTAGTTATTATATTTAATTGTCAATATAAGTTTGAAATGCAATAAATAAATATCTTAAGTTAAAAAGTTGGTCAGTTTGTTGGTAGTAAACTCTAGAGTACACTAGGTGGCTATTAGCTGTACCAATCAATGAGTAGCGTTGCTCAGAAATATTGGAGTAGTGTATCACAATCACATGTATAGACCTCAAATATTGTCTATACAATGAGTTATTATAGTAGACTGTTTATGAAATATACCTGCGGATGACGTCCAAATTATTAGTTTCTAAAAAATATTCATGAAGATGGCTCTTACTGTACTGTAGATACCTAGTAAAGTATAATCCATAGTGTATGAAATTCATTAATTTTTGTTCAATCACAAATTCTGCATTTAGGTACTGGTCACGGATGGGTTAGTCAGGTTGTTTTTCAGGCAGATTGTTTCTAGAAACAATGAACAGAGCAAGAGATGACACTAAAAAGATGATGAGATGTGTATACACTTTCAAAGGACAGTTAAAATTACAGGCCTATAAACAGCAAGCAAACCTTTTTGAGTGAACACCCCCTCTGCTCTGATGAACTAACTGTAAACCACCTGCTGTAAACAACCTGCATCAAATATCCTCAAAAAATGGAATTTACCATATATTTTGTTAAAATCCTTTCATAGTTTAAGTTACCCCTGACCAAAACCGACACCTTCCCCCCCCCACCCAAATCTTACTAGGACACATAGGTGTCCCCTGGACAGTTGGTTCCCATAGTGTAAGTAAAACCACCTTTAAAAGGAATCCTGGTTATTAGCCTGGTTTAAGATCTGAACACAAATTCGGACTTCGTTTCTGATGTACTGAACACTAGTTTCCTCATTTTTACATACTGATTCAAATTTCTGATCTTTTTGGTAGGATTTCCGATCCGGAAATTTGAATTTGGTGTGAATACCTTTATAGTAGGTTGATCAATAGATCAATAATAAAACAATAAAATTCACTTGTTATTTTATTCAATATAAATAATATATTTTTTTTGACACTACAATTATGTTGTACAATAATGACATATATTTTTTAAGTTATGATTTACTGTATTCCATTTGGTCAAACAATAATTCTATGAAACATTTAGATCCAATAATCATAATGTAAAATCATGCAATATAATTGCACAATGAACGCTACAGTACCCTACAGTGCATGAAATAGATTTCCTGAAAAGAACAGTTTTTAAAAAATATTTTTCTGTATTGAATCACAATTATAGAAATTTACACTTACAAAGATAGCTGGTAGCCAAATCATGCATAATTTGATTTCTCAGAATATGAAGTAAAAATTCAAATAGAAAACAAACTTTAAGGTTTACAACCTACAGTGAATGTTTCTGATCAGTAATATTTTTTTTTTTATTATTATTTATATCATAGAGTGTCTTTTTTCAAAAGTGCTTCTTTACAATGGTCATTGTATGCATACAAGTGTTGCTGTTGGTAAACAGTGCAAATCCAGGGAACACCACCAGGTCCTCTTTTGATGCTCTTAGGTGGAGATAAAGTGCCTTGCTCAAAGACACAAGCGAAATGTAGAGCGAGGGATTGAAACTCCGACCTTGAGGTTGGGAAACCTAACTGTTCCCCCCTGCGGCCAACAGCTTCTGAATGATTCTTATGACAGAAACCTTTCATTAAAAATAATTTTTAACCAGGTCACACTAATAACATTTTCTGCTATTGTTACAGAAGTTGTTTCCATTTTGATTATAAGAAATTGGGATTATGAGTCAAGCAGAATGGAAGAAAACACAAATTAACACAATACAATTGTAGGCAGACCATTTGATGACCAAAATAAACAATGTAGAAATAAATAACTATATAATTACAACAACAACAATAATAATGTACTATTGTTAATATTTAAAATAATATTATATGTTATTCCTGTGGTGGATATAAACATAACAATTGCAGCAATAACAAACAACATTATTAATTTATAAAGACATGAAAAGCAAACATTTACTACTATAAACAATGCTAAAACTTCTCAAAAAAGATGGAAAGTGAGAAAACCCAACAGAAACCTTCAAATTAATTTGCTCACAATATGTATTAGTAATGCCAACAGCTTCAATATTAAGTAAATAAAAAATAATCTATCCCTATGAATATATTTCATAATACCCAGTGCAAGAATTTCCTAAAAAAATATCTGCATTAACTCTAGTAAATCACAATTTTTAAGGATTTGTAAGGTAGGGAAATATTATTCCAAAATAAAAATTAACATATTTTTGCCTGCTCTATAGCTGAATTAGTTAATATAATTCAATACCACCAGCTCAGATTTTAATTAGTCAATGCAAAAGTAGCCTTCACTTCATAGCTGGCAAGGCAGGGCAAATCAATAACACACACCAAGGCCTAGCATCCAAGGACATACGATGTATCACTCACAAGTTATATCTCTACCAAAAAAATAAATCATGCTTATGCTTTGCTAATTAACAAACATCGATAGTAGAAAATCTTCCACTCTCAGAGGATATTGCTTTTGGAATAATTTCACGCACCAGAGAGAAGATCTACACATTTCACAACGAACAGAAAACTAATAAAAACGATAACTACCCAAGCATAGTCCACCATGTACGTACGGTGCATGCAGCCTCGTATTGACATCCAATACCACCAAACATAACCAAATTCCGAAATCTTTTTACACCATTGTCACTGTCACGTAAAAACCCAACGGAATATTTTACAAACACGAGTAAGCGTATGCATATTAAAAGCACTGACTCCTATAAACAAAACAACATACATGTAAATTACCACTACCGTTTACTGTTTATAAATAAACTATTTACAAAAGAAACTATTTTTCACCTTGGATAAAGGAATATAGCTGAGCGAAACAAAGACACCGCTATGCACACTATACTACTTGATTGGTTTGGTAGCACCAGTGTGGCATGCGCTGAAACCAACCTTCACCGCACCACGTTTTCGAGGCGTTGTTCTACCAATTATTTCCCGCAAATTTCTTCAAAATGGTGTCCATCAATTCAAGAATAAAATCGGAGACCACATCCAACAAAAAAAAATCCAACGATTTTCATAAATTCCACCGGTCAAGAAGAAAGATAGAGCGAAGATTACAGCGTATCCCAGACAGTCTCTTCTCTAATGGTGGTAGCATGATTATAAAGAAGACGTGTGGGGTCAATTGAAATGTTGAGTGAAAGGTTCCGGTATTCATGTTTACGCTCATTAATTAGAACAGACTGATCATTTTACTATTTATATAAATATATTTACATGTAATAATGTTCCTAATCTATTATAGCTATTCTTATGATGATGCATTTTAATGAAATGTAAGATACAAGTCTATAGCATTCCCTCAGTTTATAAATGGTATGAGCTAAATCCCTACAGCGCCCTCTGGTAATCATTAAAATGGCGGACGTCAAAGCGCTGGAGCACTCAACTTTAAAGGTAATATAAAATGATGATTTGTATCATAAGCAGGATTATTTTAGGTCATTTACAGCTCAAGAGGAAGAATTTAAACAGCTGGTACCTATGACTAACTGAAAACATATTCTTGTGTATGTTCTGTGTAGATTTTATTATTTTGCTCGACGTAAACTATGAAATGTTTTGAATCGTCACCGATTTCACTTCAGTCTCACAACCAAAACACATTAACGCCCTGCCTTTCTACATGTAATAAACAACGAAATAGCGCCTAGGCACAAAAAAGCTATTGTGCTGTCTGGGCCTATCAATTTTGACAACTAGGCCCCAGCCACATAGTTAGTTTTCGATTGAGCCCCTGCGCAGATAAAAAATACTTTAAAAAATAATTGGGCTAGGCCTAGCCTTGCCTAGCCTAGGTAGGCCTAGGCCCTACTCCTTCTAGGCTAGGCCTAGGCATAGATACTTGCTACTCTTCTACTTCTAATTGGCAGAGTCCAAACGTCTGGATATGTTGCCAATAATAGACCTTATCGCGAATCAAGACGCAATGTATATAGGGATTTAAAAGGGGAAATAGTGCCGGTTGCGCAACCACCGTTGTGGTGTGGTGTCGTCTGACTGATCACAATTTTTTTTCAAAAATGCTGAATTTCATTTATGTTAGCCATTATAATAAATAAATATTGTGTGTTTTGCCGTTGTTCACCCATTTTTCAATCCCATCATGCTTTGTTGGGGTGCACCCTCTGTTATTGACATTTCGTGATTTGCGATAAACCTTATGAAAGAGCGTGTGTATATGTGGGGTTTGAAAGTTTTTTAAAAAGAAAAAGTATGACTAAAATTGGAGTTACTAAGGATGATGCAACAATAAAAGACTCATCAGGCCTCTTTTTTTAACATGGTTCGTTGTTTACCCAAGTGAGTTAGTCTTGATCAGTCAAATATAATAATATGGAAGTCAATCAACTTTGTTCACTCTTTCAACATAGTAGCCTTGGCAGTAAGTTGTTATTTTTATGTGGATGGCCATTATTCACACAAGCGAAGTATGCACACGAATATTAATTAACCAGATTAGTATTACTCCAGACTGTAAAATATGGCCTGTGTGCTCAAAAATTTGGCATCCAGAAATGCATCCACAAATTTCGGGAAATAAGTGCAGATTTCCGTGCAAATTTCTCCCAAAATTTGGCCTTAGCATATTTTTCAATACTAATATAAAATATAGATTATGAAGTAGTTACAATTCTGTGAACTTATATACCTAGCGATTTTCTTTGCAAACTTGGGCTAGATTTTGACGTATCCCAGTGCAATAAGAATACATAACAGTATGGGTTTTACTGAGCTGGAGATCCAGTACGAACAGGGCAACTTGGTTAAATAATCCTGAGCGCATTCTAATAATACCACACGCATCGCTGAAATTTTCACAGAATGTACCATCAATTACATTGACCACACTATCTTAAAACCTACAGCCTATTTAAGAATCCAAGTGCAAACAGTAAGTACAAATTGACCAAAGTAGATGATCCCTCCATCTTGGTCAAAGTATAAGAATATAGCTTTTATAAAATCAGCTTTTCAATTTATAACTTTGATCAAATTTGCGAGATTGAGATGGTTGGATTATTTAAATTTTTAATTTTTTAAGACAGAATTGATACATTTATGCATGGTGTTTATATTTAATTCCATATTTATGTGACTATAGGATAAACAGATCTGATTATTTATGCTACTTATTTATATTATTTAAATTTTGTTTCAAAAAATTAATTTGTTACTATTATTGTCAATTTCATGAATTCTTATCGGGATAAAATTTCTGATTGCCTATTCTCTCTCAAATGAAAACACCCCTCAAAAATGAAATGGAACAGAATAAGAGAGAAAATAAGAATCAGGAAGTGTTAAGGATTTCAGAGAGGTTTATGCATTGGGCCTACTGTTCCATTTTATTTTTAAAATAAGAGTTCGTTTATCCAGGTAAGTATCTATCCAGGTTATTGACTACCAACATCACTACTGATTTGTATATTCTTAAATTTCAGGTGCCATATGAGACTCTTAATAAACGATTTAGAAACAGCCAGAAGGCAATCGACCGTGAAGTTTCACACGTAACGGGAGTATGTATTTTCTGTCACTTCTTAATAAATGTACAACTTGTCATGTTAAATCTATTTTCTGAATCTGATTAATGTTGAGCAACAAAGTAATTTTGACATTTGCCAACTTTAGTGGTCAGAGTGATTAAATTTGTAGTAACTTTATAGTAGATATGGAATGAAGATTTTGTTAGAAGGTGGGTAAATTGGTATTTGTGTCGCTAAGTAGTAAGCATAACTCGCCTATTGTTCTTGAGATGTGTGAGTGTTTATAGATAAACATCCGTAGTTATATTATATTTGAATTTGTTATGTACAGCATGGCAGTTAATCTAAATAGGTAGAGTACATCATCTTAAATCAATAATTAGAAAAGCATGTTAACTATTTAATGTACAATATATTTGTCATAAGGTAAGTAATCTTAATAATAATTATTGTGATTTGTATGTCTCATTGTGAGGCTTTGGGACTAGTCGTGAGAAAAAATCCTGTGCTGTAAAAGGATTTGAACACAACACCCTGGGAATGGAAGGCAAGTATCTTAACTACTAACCTACACCTCAGCAACCCAAGGACTCAAAACCAATGGCAGTATTAGATTCAAACACCTGCCTTACGAAACTAGAGTATAAATTGCAACTGATACGATAACCATTCTATATAAACAAGCGATAATCAAGGTGGCATGATATGATTTCTGTATTTCATTGCAGTTGCGCACTTTTGTACTAAAATATATTTGTGCTATTTTTCATTTTTTTATTAGGCGACTGGAAGATTAGAAAACTGTTTAAAAGACACTGACCAACCATGCAGTGTGGACAGGGTTGTAGATTTATTGGATTCTGTGGTGGACAAACTAACTGCCCTCAAAAGAAAGGTGACTACTAAATATTATTATTTTCAATATTTTTTATTATTTTTATTTTTTGCAATTGCTGTCATTATTATTGTTGTTGGTATTGCTATTATTTTTCACTTTCTAATCTTGGTGACCTATATTAATATAAAGATTTTTCAATCATCTATCCTTCAAATTGCACTTTTTTGCGATTTGATGTACATGAACTTGATTAAAATGTACTGGATTTAGTTGGTGTAAACACCGAGGATAACCCTTGAAAGTCGGAAGGAAAAAAAATGAGAACGAATATTATAAGAAAATAATTTTAACACAAGAGTGACTGGAATATTTTAATGGGGGATATTGTTGACTCACTGACAATTAATCAGTTTAAATCTAGACTGGAAAAACCACATGTTTAACCTTATGTCAGATACTCATTCCAAAGGGCGAATAAGCAATAATGTAGCTTTGACGTCAGGGTAAATCAAGGCTTACTTCCAGTGGGTCCTTCTGGTGGTGATCCTGTATACATTCGTTCGTTCGTTCACTTATGGTATAAAGAAACACCAAAACAGGCTGCCCGCAGGCTGAATTTGTTGGTTTACAATACAGTATATAAATATGGGCAATATATGTAAAAAAGTACCATAAAATCTTGAATTAAAGCCCAAGGGGCTTAATCTCGAGATGAAGCCCATCTTCAATTGAAGCCCCTCTCTTTTGCAAAATAAGCCTAGGCTTCTTTTCGAGATTATACAGTAAATACACTGCACATGAATTTTTTTTTTTAAATAAAATAAATTGAAAACAATCTTGGTTTATACAGCAGTAGTTTTGGTGATTTAATGCCAGTTAAATACACTCCATGATACAGATTGATGTTACAGTGGCCTTATTTGTTTCATAGTACAAATTCACAAAATTTACAGCATTCATTTTGAAAAAAGTCCCCACCCTCTTTACTTTGGAAAAGTAGCCTCGATTCGCAAAAACAAGTCCAGGGCTTCAATTCGATGTATGGTATGTAATAGTGATAATAATAATAATGATAGTAAATTACACTTTTTTGGGATGTGATTTATAGATTTTCTGAACTCACAAATACAGACAACTTGATTCATGCAGTTAATATTAATACCTATAGTATATTTGTGTGTTTCATGAAAACCCTTCCCTGCCCCAACTCCAGGTGTAGAACAAATCACCCATGATTTTACTGTTTAATAATACAGTTCAGTTCAGTTGCGTTAAATTGCCCAATACTGATATCCCATCCTGATTCAAAAAGGGTATGAGCAGAAATTAATTTCTAATTTTCTCTAATGAATGAAATAATTATCTATACTTATTACACATAAAAATGTATTGGTTTTCCTTAATAGCAATGAGCAAAAATGGATTTTTTTTTTTACTTCAATCCTCAAAGGTTGTTGTCTACAATACATTATGTACGTTGGTAAATCAGGAAGATATTTTTCTAAGGAAGATTGACAATAAGCCCCTAGTCTTCTGTACAGGGAAATTAAAATAAAATGCTTGTTGAGTTTATTTAATTGAAACATTCAATTTCTGTTTGATCTCTCTATTAAAAGTTTGCTTGCAGCTACCCTTCCATTGATAACATTATTGTTTTAAATAGGTTTGATTGAGCGTGTGTTTTTTAATCACAACATGTACAGTAATTGAGTGTTACTTTATATTTCTCAGACGATAGGAATAATTATAGATTTTTTTATATAAAGTATAAGATGAGTTTTTGCAATTAGTTTGAGTGAGGAAGTCTTTGAAAAATAGATAATAATAAAACAGAATAATTGCAATCGTTATTCATGTGAGATAAATACTTACCTACATAGCATTTGGTTTACATCACGATAAATTAAAAAGTGGTATAGAAGTTATAATAATGATGATGTTAATAATACAATTTTTAATGGAAATTTTACTGTAATAATGATGAAAAATAATATATATATATATGAGTGAATTGTAATAAAGGTCTACCTCCAATTAAAAACCACTTTTTGGGATGGAGGTTCCATGGACTGTAGCAGGTTTGCTCTTTAATTAGAATAATAAAGATAAAAGAAATTTGTTTAATTGGTACCACAGAAATGTGGTCTTTAATTGGGATGTTGTTAATAAGGGGGGTTGGGGGAGGCCTGTATTAAAGTTTTATATTGGGTTAAGTGTTTAAATTATCTCAATATTAAATAATATAAATGTGTAATAATTGTGATGGACAGTAGTTTGGTACTAAACTGATTGGCAGAAACATAAATATGATAATTTTAATTAATTCATAAATATGAGAGAATTTTATGAATAATAGTAAACTATGGCTTAGTGCACATTACTTCTGACTCCATTTGTTAGATAAGCGTTTCATGCCTCTAGTGGGAGTTGAAATATAGCCGACTCTCAGAGGCATGTGTGTGCCATTTAAATACTGCCCTCTTTGGTCTACTTTTTGAAAATGTTCTAGCAATAAATCTATGCAACTTCAACACTGGAAAGTTGAAAATAATCGTAAGTGACAAATGCAGTAATACTTTGGACTTAAGCAATTGCCATTGCAGACTATTATGTAGTACTGACAGTCAGAACGTTGGCGGCTCGTTTAAGTTCTGCTTCTTAAGATGAACCGGTTTGATTTAGTACTTGTGTCTTTTATAGATATTCCCTATATTATGATATCGCATGTCGCCTTCGTGTTAAGCTGTGCGAGTGCTTATGGAATTCATTATATTCCAAAATATAAATCTATAATTGAATTTTATAATACATTAAATACATTAATATTAATGAAGGAAGTGATCATTATATTGCTTTTATATTTATAAAAGTTGCTAAATTTAGTTTATGTGGGAGTATTTCATTTATTTTTTCAGACATTTCACATATTCTTAAGCACTTAAAAAACACTATAGTCAGTTATAATATTCATAGCAGCAATTACAAAGCATTTTTTTTTCATCCTGGCCAGTGGATAAAGTTTCAGTTATTCACAATGGGGAGTACTCCAGTCAATAGCCACCAGGGCCTAAAACCAAAATTCCAAAATGAAGAATGCTATATCTCAGCCAATTAGAACCAACAGGATTTTGACATTTTTAACAAGAATATAACATGCTGGGGTTTTTTTTTTGTTTTTTGTTTTTTTATTTTCACAGGCAGCAGAGGCTATATCTCAGGAAGAGGGTAGCGCTCGGGTTTGTAAAAGGCGTATTGAGCATTTAAAAGAGAAAGATATGTGCACGGAAAGCACTCTAGCCCAGTGGAATAAGAAGAGAGTTGATCGCATGCTTGTCGAATACTTCCTTAGGGCTGGCTACTACGATTCAGCTATGAAACTGGCAAGCCATGCAGATATTGAAGTAGGTCTTTGCCCTTTTCATCATAAAAATAAAACAGTTTTCTTTTCATTAAATATTATTTTTTTTGTTTATTCCAAATGAAGGTAAGTCAAAGTTATGATTTGCAACATAAAATATTTATTATTTTGTTATAATAATGATAATGCTTTGGGTGGTGATGAGGACGACAGTGCCAGTGAATGGAATGGTGTTGATTGTTGATAGTTTGAGGTTGTAACGGTTGACAAATTGTGGGAGGAGGGGTGGTGATGTGGTATGAGTGATGATGGTTGTGATAGTGATGGAGATAGTGATATGCATGGGTAGTGATGTGGAATATTTGGGTAGGTTATAATTGGGATGGTCATGTTCAAAATGGTGATATTGATTATAATGATAATAGTCTTAATTAAAGTAGCTTGATTTTATTAAATTAAGTTGTATAAAGATGCTTACAATTACAAACTGTGGGTTTTCGTTAAATAAGTTCACCATGGCTGTTATTCATCATTATTATCGTTGTATTGTAATCTCAATAAAGAAACTTCTTTTTAAATAACAAAAAAACATTTGTATTAGTTTGCTAAGTTTCAACAAAAAAGTTTTTGACAATGGTACGACATCTGTGAATTGCTAAACATGTAGTTCGATCATGTGACCGACTCGGACCTGCTGCTTTGAAACAAGCCACGCCAGCAGTTGGACGCACATAGTGTGAACTGACCACGTTCCCCTCGTAGTCGGCGACTTACGTGAGCTAAACTTGCAATTCATAACTGCTTCGGTTGAGTCAATCTGTTGCATGTACGAGGAAATAACTGAACGTTGTTTATTAGGTATAAAGCTAAATATACCTAATCCCTTGGCACTTATGCACATGATCAACTCTATTCAAATCAAAGTGACTCATTACGAAAGAAATTATCCGTGGTAATGAGTCACATGTAAAAGAAGTGTAGTGTCTGCATCGCATCTGTCAGCAGTGTATATTGTGTTGCATTATTTTTCCAAATGAAATAATTGAGTCGATTGAGTTGTTGGAAACAACATTTTTAGCTGATGACGATTCTTTTTTTTTTTTTTTTTCACAATCTTTATGGAATTTTTTTACTATTTGTGTAGTTTTTTTTACTGTTTTTTTTTTCAATATCCATAAGAAATACATATTGTATCTCAATAACTACTAAACTAATTAGGTGGATTATATTTTTATTCTATAAATTCTACCCTCAATTGAACATTGACAATAGTGCTATTTTTAAACTCTCTTTACTAAGCCATTGTTATCACAGTCCCAGCACAAAGTAGCCATTTTATAGTTAAACAAGTAAAAACAAGTATGTGCATGATTTGACATTGTGGGGGATGGTGGGTGCCATAATCTGCTACTCTCTTTAAACTTCATATATTAGTTATGATTTAATTTATTGTCTATAAATGCATAGGCAGAGTAGGTGGGAAGGTGGGTTTTTCCAACAAAAAAATTCAAATACAAATTCATATACTTACAGTATTACTGCAAATAATAACGGACAAATAAACTAGTAATAAACAAGTATAATTGATTGTCTGAATAATATGTTTTCAGTGTATTAACAAATAATTACTTATTTTATTAAAATAAAATTAGAAATTGAAACAAGTAAACTTGTTTGAATGAAATTTCAATTTTCTTTTACCCATTTTTACCAAATAAGTTATTGTTTTCATTAAATATAAACATGTTATTAATTGATTATATGCATAAAGGTAAACTGAAAGCAATTGTACTTCTATAGATATTGTAGTATATTTTTAGATTTTCTCCACCATTGTTAGTATTAGCTTAGATATTTTCGGAAGATTGATCTGATTATGTTCCGTTTTTGTTTTAATGGTTTACATGCACTTTCAGTCTGTTTACCAGACTCGGCAATACATCTACAGGATTTACCTAAGTCACACTTAAGACGTATACAAGACAAGCTCAATTAAGTGATTTTTCTTTCAGTTTTGACTTGTCAAAAACAGAAAGTGTCTACGTCAAAGCGCGGATGAGTACAAGCTCCGTTCATCCCTATCACAACGGCAACTTGGCAAGGGGAGTGTGGTTGTTAGCTGGTGATTCAGCAGAACAAGCTAAAAACCTATCCATTTCCACTGCAGCGGTTGCCTGGAAATAGATCGTTCACGTAGGTGGTGATCAGTTGCGCATAATCAGACGAGGAAGTCTAATTTCTGGTGTGTCCATATCTGCGCCGTGGAAGAATGTCCCTACGGTGCAGGACGGTTCTGCCTTTCCACAGAAGTGCCGCATCACGCTGTTGGTTTTCCTGTAGACTGCGAATTAAGCCAATGCACTAATTGTTCACAACAGCTGGGGCTGTTGCTCCAACATCGCTCTTCCTTAACGTTGGTCCCCTGTGAATTTTTTCTTGTTATGCTTCGTAAGATACCGAACCCGAGGAGCCAACATGCACGCGGCTAAGATAAAAATCCTAGACAACATCTGACAGTAGGCATATTCTAGACGGAGGATTGGTATTTGAGATGGTGCAGAAGAGTATATATGGCCTATTCATTTATCTAGTTGAAGGCCAATATAATACAGTAGTAACAAATTGAAAGTTCAGTCTATTAGTCTGTGTATGTTTGTATATATGTATTTAAATTCTACAATATATATATAAATATGTACATATTTTTATAATTTTTAACCCATTTGTAACAAAGAGAACAAATCTCATGACTTTGTTATGACAATAAAGAATATCAGAATCTTATATAAATATATATCCTGTCTCTTATACACATCTAGATGTGTATAAGAGACAGTTTATATATAGACAGAAATGAAATAACATTATTCAGAAGGTGACTATCGTGGATAGCATATCTTTCGATCATTGCCAACATGTTATTTAAGAAAAATGTATGTCCCCATTGGGATTCAAACTCAAGACCGTCCAATGACCGTTCGGATACTCTACTAACTAAGAATCCAAGATTTTTTTATTTTTTTTTTTCATGTTTGAAGTTTTGGGGTTGCCAGATGTTGGATAGGATCTTTGTTCCTCCTTGGCTTCTATATTAAGATCCAGCCATTTTTATCTACAGCATTGTTTTTCAATATCGTTAAAAGGCATGTCAATTAATTTACCCCCTACCAACAACTAAAAGAATTACTGATGTCAAATACTTTCAATTCATTGAATAAGAATGCATTAGTAATGAACATTTACACAATACTGTACCAATAAAACAAACAAAATAAAGCATTGGTATAAGCAAAATTTGATTTTTGTTAGTCAACAAATAAAAGAATTACTGTTCAATTCATTGAATAAAAAAGCATTAGTGATGAAAATTTACACAATACTGTACCAGTATAACAAAAAAAATAAACATTGGTATATATAAATACATCAGTTATTATTATAAACAAAATTAAATTTTTTTTTTGGTTAAAAAAAGAAAAAATATATAAACCTATATACTTTAAAAAGATTTTTTTTTTACCTCTACTCATGTTTTATTAGAAATATAAAATGCAGGAAAATGCATATAAAAGTGGCTGACAGGTACAAACCCTATGTAGACAGGAAGCCCTTACAAACACAGATTATTCAAGTGTTTGGATCAAAGTTTGGCAACAAATATAGTCAAGAATTTTATATCCAAATCAGTCCTACTGTAGACTTCTGTCCTGCTGTCGCATTGATAAAGACATAATTTTACAATTAAAAAAAAGTTATTTACAAATAATGCGATTCAAATAATACAATATAAGAAATATATAACTCAAAAATGCACAATACATCTTTGGAAGTGTGGGGGATGGAAAGTGTAAAATAAAATACTCCTCTATAAAAAGTTAAAATTAAAAATCTCTAAATTGTACACATCTTTAAAAATTTTAAAAAGGGTCGTATTATATGATTTTTTTGCTCAATGTTTATCACATCAATTTAGTTGGCGATACTAATGCAAAGTAATGGGTGTGTACTTTGGGGCTAAGGCGCTTTTCCTCCACTCCCATGTAATATTTGTTTTGATATTGTGGTCACATGATGATGAAGTACAATTCATTGAACTCTTCTGAAATTAGCATATTTCATGAAAAGTATTAAAGTAAAAGTGCATTAATAATTTGACCAATTATTTCAAAGAGATTGGATTTCAAAGTTAAATCTGACTACCTGTTGAGCCCTTACCTCTGTAGATTTCCTCGTCCCATTCGAATAATGACTTAATAAGCTAAATAAAGCACATGCGGAACACAGCAGATGTTTTGCTGAACTCTGTATTAACTCATTAAAAGGTCTTCTAAGTAATTACAGACTTAATAGCTGTTCATAATGTTCTGATGTTAAGCATCGTCCGTCATAATCATGCTGGGATCACCCTCTGTTTTTCTGCGATCGAAGATGGCAATAAAAAACTTGGCAATGCAAAGACACACAATTCAAGATGGAAACATTTCTATAAATTTACTATTGTTATTATCACTATTGTTTTTAAATTATATAAATGTTTGAGTGATTTGGTTTTTTTTTTTTTTTCCTCATAATTATTTTATTGTTTATAGTGTCATTATTGTTGTTATTTCTAATGTATGATTCTTTTGGTATCTTTAATCATCATCATTGTTTTAATAGTTATTGATGTTGTTTATTATTACAATTATATGTAGAAAAGCTCCTATTTTTAGTTACAGGTAGTATAATATTTTTTTCTAGTATTTTACAAATTATTTTTTACTAGTTTATTCATGTAACAGTACCTGTAACCAGCGGTGGCCCCAGAAATTTGCTGACAGAGGGTCCGACAGGGGGTCTGTACCAAAGGGCTGACTAGAGACTTGGCCAGGGTCCTTGAAAAATAGACCCTCCACTGGTACCACCATTGCTTGTAACTGTAATTTTTTGTTTTTATTTTAATATAAATTGGTGCTTTAAAGCCACTTTCATATGCCTTGAAAGGATACTTGACTTTTCTTCTTCGCATCTCGGAACAACTAACTTGGCAATTGAGGGATATCA